TCATTCATGATTAGGATATGTTCTTAAAAAGAATCTTGTATGATATTAGAGAGAACATTAAAACCGAACACTTCAAACATTCATAATACACAGTTTTTTAAATTCAAATTAATAGTTGTCAATGGAACAGATGAAAAATCTAAAGGTTAGAAAATTTGAAAATTTGAAAATTTCCGATCGGTCATTGTTAGACAATGTCTAGTACCACTATGGAGAACGATAGAGAAGCGAAGAAATATGACCAGCTGTTTGGGTCTCAGGCACACCAGCACGACGGATTTAACAATTTTTCGCCCCTATGCCAAATTAAATTTGCCACCCCTATCCAAAAAAAACTTTTGAACTCCTATTTAATAAAATCTTCAAATAAATAAATTTTTTCAATATCTAATATGAAATTATTTTTTCATTTAAGTATACTAAAAAAAATTTTGTTTCAAATATAACATCTTCTATTAATTTTTTTAAATTAACAATATTTATAAAAAAACATAATTTAATTAATATAATAAAAATTATTAATTATTTTAATTAATTTAATACATTTAATTTAATTTTAATATTTAAATTTTTAATTCATAGTTAATTTTTGCAGTTTACACAGGTTTTTTCTAGATTTAATTATTGAGAAGTCATCAATAATGTCTTCATACACTAATAATGACGTTAAATTACTTTCTATTAGTGATGGGAATTATTCGAATATTTCCCATTACTACTTTCTATACTTAATATGGCCAAAGAGTTTAATCTTTCTTGCGACATAATTGTTCGTATATAATTGTTCATTCTTTTTAACACCGAAAACGAACGTTCAGCTACAGGAGCGTACCCAGGAATTTTTTCGGCGGTTCCGAGTTGCGTGCGAAAATCGTTTTCTGGGTCGAATTGCGTGCGTGGTTTTTTCATAACAGGGTTGAGTTGCATGCGAGATACAGTGTTGATGCCGCACGGTGTGCCAGATCACACTTTTTGCAGACAATTTTTTTTTTACCTTTAAATGAACCAATGAGTTACACTAAATAATTAAAGAATATATTTATTCTTCGAATACAAATTATTAAAACAATATTAATTCAAGTGATAATACAATAAAATTATTAGGTATCTCGTAAAAACGATTATATTTAAATATTTTATATGAGTAGAAAAAATGTAATTTAAAACTACAGTCTAAATATTATAAAAATAAGAAAAAAAAAAATAAAAAATAAATAGGTTTGTTTATATATATATTTTGAGTTTTGTATTCAAACTTAAAACTCAACTGGCAAATTTTTGTACGCCAACTTTTCAATAAATTCCAAACGAGTTAACATTTTATTTTGAAATTGATGCATAATGTCATTAATATAATCTTCTTTTTCTAATACCTCCCGTCGTTTTTTTGTTACATTTGAGCTACGAATTTTGACATAAACATCGGTTTGTACATTTTTCAAGATTTCTACAAATTGAAATATATTTGTAATACCCATATATAGCCATCATATTAGATACAGATAAATGATTCTCCGGCCGACACATCCAGCTCGGTGAAAATCGGTTGTCTTTAAATAAAATATGAGCACGCAATTCAACTCTGTCATAAAGAAACCACGCACGCAATTTGGCTGTGTCTCGAAAAAACCGCGCACGCAATTCGGTTGTTGTCAAACATAGTTCTTTTTTTCCGCACGCAATTCGGATGCAGCCAATTTTTTATGGGGGTGGTCCAAAGTTTTTATGTTATCTGATAATGGGAAATTAAAATACACTATACTATTATTATATTATTTACTATTAAATTGTTGAGTATGTAGAAATTTCAATGGGGGATGGGGGGGGGGGTGAACCCGAAATATCCCACTTTGGGTACACCCCTGTTCGGCAATACAATTAGTAGCTAGTATTGATACAAATATTCGAAGAGCAATTTCAATATTTGGAAATAGATCCTTCATATTACGTTCATAAATTACATGCAATCAGTGGCGGAACTAGATTCTTAGAGGCCTGAGTACAAAAATTTTCGTGGCGAATTTTTAAGCCAAAATTTAAAAGAAATTTGTTTTTCTCACATAACATCTTTATTTTTTAATACATATATTTATATTTATATATTATTATTAATAATATATTTATAAATAGGTAAATATTGAAATTAAGTTGTGAATATTTATTTACGGTTTTGGTTTTATGCAAAAGTATTGATCAATACCGACATATTTGATTTTTTTGTATGTTCGTTTTCAATAGATATCATAGGCAAACCACTTAGACGTGTTCGAGACATAGTGTTTCTGAGGTAACTTTTTATTGACTTCAGTTTTGAAAACAATCTCTCAGCACTGACTACAGTTACTGGTAAAGTGAGAAATTAATAAAATGCTTTTAGTAATTTTGAGAAGTTTGTCATAAGATTATTATTTTCAATGACTAACAATTTAGTTATATCAAAAACATTGGATTTCGAGCTCAAAAGCAAATAATGTTCTAGAAGATTCGATTTGATTAGATGATTCTGCCGAATTAAATGTCAGTAGGATACAAGTTACAACCGCTAATTTATTTATGTGATAAAATTATTATTCTGCATTAGTATAATTATAACTCCTTTTTTTTCTAGGATATTTTGTTTAAAATTAATAAATGAATAAAAACCTATCTATCTTCATATTATATTAAGATCTAATAACTAATTGATCATGCTAGATTACTATTATTCTGAACCTCCATAGCTAATTATGCAATGGTTTACTTACAAAAATAAATGGAAAGCTAAAAACTAAAAATAAACTTTTATGAGGTTTTTAGTAAAATTTTTTAAATTTTAACGTTTATAATTTTCTAAGTTAAATCGTTTGAGGCCCCTCTTATGCTGAGGCACGAGTGAAATCAAACCTTTATCTATATGTAGGTCCGCCACTGCCAGAAATAGTAATAATGGTGTAATTTTCTTTTCGTTAAATCTTGTAATTTGATGAGAACGAAAATGTAGTAGTTCATTAATAAATTAATTTTTTTCTAAGTCTGATTTGTAAATGCAAAATAACTAATTTGCTTAAACCATTATTTCAGACAGGGGCGGATACAGGGGGGGGGCAACAGGGGCAGTTGCCCCCCCTCCTTCGTTCAAAAAAAAAAGTATCAAATTTGACTTTTGTAATTAATATTTCATTTTTAGAATTTGGGCCATCAAAATATGTATACCTATCATTCTAATCCCTTTTCACTATTACTATTTACTACTGCAACTTTTACGATAACAGTAATCAATAAATTTTTAAATTAACTATGCATGCCGTATACAATCATGGTTTTATCGCTACTTGCGGCTTGCATTTGATTGTCGCTGTCGTATCGTTCAGATTAAAATCATCTTGTTTTGATAATATTGTGTTAAAAATATAGTATAACATTGATATTTTATCAAATAAATTAATTAATCACATATTTGTTTTTCTGCACTTAAGAGAATAAAAACTTGGCTGCAGTGCAACATGTTACAAAAAAGACTTTCTGGATTGGCGATTATACATTGTCATCGAAATCAACATATTGACATAGATGAAGTGATAGATATATTTTCAAAAAATAATAGAAAAAAATATTTTATAATTTAAAATATTTTATTAATTAATTTATATATAATATTTATCATATATAATAATTAGCGGTAATATATAAAGATTAATAAGTTTTTTTTAAATAAATACATAAGGTTCTTCATTATCTAAAAAATAAACACCTTTTTTTTTAAATAGATGATATTTTTTTAGCCTATAACTAATAAATTGCCCTCCTCCCACCGTTTAGGGCCATTGTATCCGCCCCTGATTTCAGAGTTTTCCAATTTATGAAGTTTAGTAAAGAAATAAACGGTTTGCAGAATGTTTCATATGCTTTTAGTCTGTCACTCAATTCAGTAGCTAATCTATCAAGTATAACGTAGAATGTATTAATTCTAAAATTATCTTTCGCTGATATTTCTACTTGTCCATATCGAGTTTCATCATGACGAATTTTTTTTTCTTTTTATAGATTTTATTATATTATTACGAGACATTTCATAAACAATAAGATAAGCCATAATAAAATACAATCGTCGTTGTCGTAGATGAATTCCTGGGAAAATATAAATATTAGTTTGCTAAAAACAAACGAATACAAAATCCACAATTTAAATATTTTGAAGTGATAGATAAAATTTTAAAAATTATGTAGCTAATTTTACAAAATCAAAATAAATACTCAATATAATTTTGCCGCTCTATGCGGCCACATAGTTCGTAGTGCCTTAAATCCGCTCCTGCACATCAGATCTGCACAGGTAACCGGCAGTACTTGACATTCTATATTAAATTTAATGTGACCCTGGACAAAAATATTTTTATTGTATTTGCATAAGATCTATCCAGTGGCGTCGAGCTTCTAAAATTTTACTCAGGCCAAATAAAAATGCAACGGCCTCTCAAACACCCCAGCGACCACAAGTCTACATTTTTACTTTGCATAGAAAAATAATTTGTGCTCTCACGTTACAAGTATTAAACATGAATACTAGATATGTATCGACAAACACCGTTCCGAAAAATATTTTATTATGTATTTCAATTTTGGTAATTCACATTTAAACGTTTCCGTTCCTTTCATACAAGTACCGATGCGGACAGAGTCCATCCGGTATTCCTCGCGAAAATAATCGCGAGGTCAGAATATTGCAAAGTGCAAACCACAGATTCCTCTGATCTCCGGCCTCATTTTAAAAATTTGGTCAGGCCGCGGCCTGATCTAAGCATAGGGTTCGGAGCAAATTGATCTATCTGGAATTGGATAATTCAATAGGCCTATAATGATAGATTTATGGTTTTCTGTTCAATGGAAAAAATCGCATGTAGCACGTTCGTCAGGAGTTATTATTAAAATAATATTTTTATCCTTCCATCAGTGATAATATTGTTTATATGCTTGTTTGGTGTTATCAAAAACCTTTTGTTATCGCTCCGTGGTGGTGAAATTGATAACATTTCAGTGTTAGTTCCACGTGCTTTTTACGTTTTGTTTTTATTTTATTGTGCTCACGAACTATAACATCTTGATTATTCGTTGTCGAGGAGTATCATTCAACTGTGAACCGTTTTATATTTGTTATTTAACTTCTTCTTTATTTGTCATCTTTTTGAATTCATGCTTTTAGTTGTACAATGAGATTTAATTACAAGGTATGTCTTATGATGAATTCCGTGTAGCCGTTATTACTTTTGTTTTTATTGTTGTCTAGTTCTCCAACATACTCGGAACGATCTATCGTAAAGGAAATTTGGTTTTCACACCCGATGGAAATTCTGTCATCAGTCCTGTGGGCAATCGGATATCGATTTATGATTTGAAAAAGTAAATAAATCTATATCGCAACACTGTTGTACTCAGTGGCGTACATACGGCGAGGTTTCTGGGTTCAAACCCCCGCCAAAGTCAAAAAAAAAAAAAGAAAATTTTTCTATTATTGATAATGTGTAATATAATCGTAGTTTCATTTTTACGCTTTGAACTTAAAATATACAACTATACAAATATTATAATTAAATAATTTTATTGATAGGTGTTTGAAAAGTTTTGTTAACTATGATGTTTTTATATTCCGATAGCTATCAATTTACTGTAATGTAAAAGTAAACTGTAAATTGGTAAAAAAGTTGTATAAAATAATATCTATTTATAGCAGTTATTTATCTGTGCAACGAAAAAAAATAAAATATCGATTATATTTGTTAAACTCCCCCCAGGGCAAAATTGAATGTAAGCCACTTGTTCTACTTAACTGACATTATAAATTTCATCTCATTTCAGTAATACCTCAAATACACTTCCAGTGGAAAGTACTCATAATTATGAACAAATATCTTTGTCACCAGATGGAACCCTACTGTTTGCTGTGAATGAAGGTACAGTAAACAATTTATAAGTTTTTGTAAAAAAAAAAAACTAAATATTCATTTTACCTAGTCGGAGAAGCACATCTAATCAGTTTAATAAGTAATAGAGTCTTACATAAGTATCGTTTCAATGAAAAAGTACTTCATCTGAGCTTTAGTCCTGATGGAAAACACATTGCAGCTTGTAAACTCAACAAAAGTAAGTACTTTGATATTTATTAAAATTAATTCGTATAATCTCATACCAATGGAGGGGGTTCGAGTCCGGATCCCTCTCATTAAAATTTCTTCATACTCAATAGTTTAATAATAAATAGTATAATAATAGTATATTGGGTATTTTAATTTCCTATTATCTTCAATATACAAAGTTAGATTATATAATATACCTATAATGTATAAACCATACTATAGTATATTAACAGTAATTTGTTGGTATTCAGTTAAACTGTAATTATAATTAGAGAACAGATAAAATAAAAATTTTGCCCCCCCCCCCCCCCATAAAAATTTCTGGGTATACTCCTGACTCCTACAATGCAATTTTACATATTATTTTACTTTAAAATACAATTACATGATTTATTTTCAGTTTTTATTTTGCAAACTCCTGGTCATTTTATTGGGCAATTTAATCAATTTGCGTTAGAACGAGTTTTTAGTGATATTTTAGGAGATACTACGTATGTTGCATGGACTGATGATTCTAGGTAAATGAAAAAGTGTAAATTTCTATATTATGAATAAATGTTTACCTAATTGAATCTTATAATCTAATCTAATGAATCATTTTTTTTTCAGTATTTTTGCTGTAGGTAGTAAAGATGCTACTGTAAGGTTGTATACATTAAAGAATTATTCAAACTTTCGACCATATTCACTAATTGGACATTCTGATGTTATTGTTGGTATATTTTTTGAACAAAATTCTTTAGATCTAATGACCATCAGTCGGTATGTTGTGAATTCATCAACTTTTTTAATTAAACTAATTCCCTATATAACTGTAGGAATGGTCATTTAACTGTCTGGCAATGTTCACTGGACTTAAATCAATTAACTACTATTGAATCAACTAATACAAAACGGTTGAAATTAAATGATGATGATGAAGATGATATTGATTTATCCAAAGGAGAAGATAGAGAACGTTATGTAATGAGTCAAGAAGGTAATCAATAAAATAAAATTATAATTATATTGTATTAATGTTATTCATGCTTTCAGAAAAAAATAAACTAAAAATATTATCTAAAGATAAGAAAAATGTATTGAGTTACAATAAATTGTCAAAACATTTTCTGAACGACCATATAAAAGATGAACATAACAATTTGAAAACAACTGCTGCTGATTATCATAAAAAGGTCAAAATCCTTGTTATTGGTTTCTCTAATGGATCTTTTTTAATTTTCGAGACTGTTGGAATATCTCTCATTCACTCATTAAAGTTAGTAGTTAATCATTTATTTCCCCCCCCCCCCCCCCCTATAAAATATATTTTATCAAATATATATGTTTTAGTATTTCAGATACCAGTATTAGTACAATAGTATTAAATAATGCAGGTGATTGGATTGCATTAGGCTGTGAAGGACATGGTCAGTTGTTAGTTTGGGAATGGCAAAGTGAAACCTATGTTATGAAACAACAGGCACATGGTTCTGAAATATCTTGCTTAACTTACTCTGCTGATTCTGTGTATATTGCTACTGGAGGTGAGGATGGAAAAGTATGTAATTTTTAAAGAAATAATATTTATATGTGCATACATTTAGTCCATATTCTTGAAATAATTTTTAATTTCAGGTGAAATTATGGAATACTCAATCAGGATTTTGCTTTGTTACATTCTCTGAACATACAAGTACTGTTACTGATGTAGTATTTGGTCCCAACAAAAAATTTGTCATATCTGCATCTTTGGATGGTACTGTCCGAGCTTTTGATTTAATTAGGTAGGAATTTGTTAAACAAAAACTTTTCTTGTATAACATTAAATTTTCTTTATAGATACCGTAATTTTAAAACATTTGTATCACCTCGTCCAGTACAGTTCAGTTGTGTAGCTATTGACTCAACTGGAGAATTTATAGCTGCTGGTGGGCAAGATGTTTTTGAAGCATACTTATGGTCTATGAAAATTGGTAAACTTTTAGAGGTAAGAATTTAAAACACTTACACTACATACTGGAAAATACTGTATTTGGTATTTGTTTAATATTACATTTAACTAGGTATTGTCAGGACATGAGGGACCAATAGTAAGCTTAGCATTCAGTCCTATAATTTCCAGTTCTACATTGGTAACTGCTAGTTGGGATAAGACATTGCGTATTTGGAATGCTGTTGAAAATGGGTCTGATCATGAAACTATTCAACTTTTTGCTGATGGTAATTATTAATTATTAAATATAAAATTATGCCATGATACACCACATGTTATTAACTACACATTTATTGTAATTAGGTTTATGTGTTGCATTTCGTCCTGATGGAAAAGAAGTGGTTGTTGCTACACTGGATGGTCAATTATTGTTTTTTGATGTTCGTACTTCAACTCAAGTAGCTAGTATTGAAGGCAGAAATGATCTTGGAAGTGGCCGAAAAGATACCGATCTTATCACTGCAAAAAAAAATCTTCAGTCAAAGTATTAAATTTTTTGTTCTTATAAATAAATATTGATTATTAATATATTTAATGTTTTTATTGTACTAAACTAATTTTTTTTTTTTATAGAGCTTTTAACTCTGTTTGTTATTCAGCTGATGGTCAGTTTGTAATTGCAGGAGGCCAGTCCAAAAATGTTTGTATTTATAATGTCACTGAGGGCATTTTATTGAAAAAATTTGAAATTACTCAGAATCAATCATTTGATGCAGTTCTTGTAAGTAGTTTAAATTTAAAATACATATTAATATTAAATTTTGATTTTCTTTACAAAAAAAATAGGATGTTATAAACCGACGTAAAATGACAGAATTTGGTAACATAGACCTAGTTGAAGAACGGGAAACAAGAGAAGGGGGAAATGTTAGATTAAAGTTACCCGGAGTACATAAGGGTGATTTAGCTGCAAGAACATTTAAACCTGAAGTTAATGTTTTTGATGTCAAATTTTCTCCTACTGGTAAATATTTATGTATATTTTTTTTTATTACATTTTATTAATCATAATAAAATATTAGGTCTATCATGGACTGCTGCAACAACAGAAGGTGTTTTAGTTTATTCTCTCAACAGTGGATTTATATTTGATCCCTTTCTTTTGGAAATTGGTATAACGCCAGTGACAACAAGAGAAACTTTGTTCAAGAAAGAGTATGCATCAGGTGAGTGTAATATGAAGTATAATTATATTCTAATTAATTATTTATATTTGATTTTAAATGTTAATTATTTTAAGCTTTGATGATGGCTTTACGTCTCAATGAACCAAAACTCATTACTGAAATTTTAGAAGCCATACCATCAAAAGATAGTGAGTACATAATTTTTTTAGTTGTAAGATAAAATGTACTATAATAATGTTTTTTTTTTTTTATAGTTGAATTGACAGTGGTATCATTACCTAAAATGTATGCAGAAAAAATTTTTAAACATATTTCAATTGTCTTAGGATCTACTAGGCACATAGAATTTTATATGCAATGGGTGACATCACTTCTAAATTCTTACCAACCTCATCAAACTGTAATTTTAACACTATATAAAAATTTATCAAAAAAATATACAGATCTGTCTAAGGTGTAAGTATTAATTTCCATAAATTTATTATACTATGCAAAATCTGCATAGAATATATTAATATATTAAATATCTTCTATATAAATTGTACTTTATACAAAAATAAAAATGTTACTTACATCTTCATTAAATATTAAATAAAACATAAAATTATTTATTTATTTTTTATTAAAATTAATTTTTCTCATTTTCCAGTTGTGATTATAACAAATATACACTTTCGGTTGTTAAGAGAATAGCCAGTTTGCAACTAAAAGAATTAAAAGAAGTAAAAACTGAAATTGAAACAATGGAAGTCAATGAAAACAATGTTATTTCCATTTAATACTGTTATATTAATAACAATTTTAATTAGTGTAAATAAATATTATTAGATTCCAAATGTATTATTTTACTTTATTGACATAGTTTTAATTTATTTTTATATATTTATTGTAAAAACTAGTTTATAATAATTTCTATATACTATATTATTCTTAATAATTTACTACAATGTATCTTCTTCTCCTTTGCCTTTCTCTCAACTATTTGGGGTCAGCCACTCTTTTCCTAAACCTCCACTTTTTATTTAGTCTCAATTTTCTACATCCCCTATGCACACACCAACAGCCCTCTGATCATTCTCAATCGTATTCAGCCATCTCTTTTTTAGTCTTTCTCTTTTTCTTTCAACATTCATTTTTATAAACATTCTTACTGCTTTTGTTTCTTCTCGACCCGTCACTTACCTAAACCTTCAGAGTATTTTCTCTCATCCACTATCAACTCTACACTAGTACTAGCTCTCATTGTATAAAGGAGTACAAAGTCGAATTCTAAAAGACAATTCTTTAGCTATTTTTTCACCATGTGCCTGTCATAGTTTGAATTTGTGCGGAGTCGAAGCTGCTCAATGTTGCAGTGGAGCAATTAAATTTTTTGGAAATCTACACAAATGCTATAATATATTTAGTTCTAGCCCTCGGAGATGGAAAATCTTGCAAGAACATCTGAAATGTTCACTACACAACATATCTGATACAAGATAGTCTTCAAGAATTGAATATGTCAAGCCATTTTCAATGAACATAGTTAGCATTAAAGAGGCGATCAAAGAGGTTCAAAATCTTAATCTAACTGCTGAAATTTTAAATGATTTAAGGGGACTTTCCACGTATGTTAATCTATTTGAATGTGTAATTATGGCCTTTTGTTTGGTTTAAAATGCTGACCACAATCGACCATAGGAGCGAAATCTTACAAACAAGAAAAAGTACTATTGACGTAGAAGTGAAAAATTTAGACCGCTTGATAAACAATTTGACACATTTAAGAAATAACTGTGAAATCATAGTGGAAGAGTGTAAACTTGTTGGTGGCAATATAAACAGTGCTACAACCTTTTCAGAAAAACGCACCATTAGAAGAAAACTAACTGATGGATCAATTCAAGTAGATGATTGCAACCGAGAAGAGAAGTTTAAGCAAAATGTGTTTCATACTTTATTTGACTGTGTGATAGCAAATATTACAATACGGTACATTGCTGTTAGAAACATAGATGAAATGTTTAATTTTCTATGGAAATTTCCAAAACTTTCAACAGAAGGACTTGTTGAAAAATCAAACACATTTATCAATTTTTATAGCAGTGATGTTTTTACAGATCTAGTCGGAGAAACTAATCACTTGAAATCAATTTAGCCCACCGTGGTATACTGTACGACATATACACATATTGCGGTACTAATTATGTAGGAGCGGCAAGACAACTAAGGGCGCTATTTCTGGATAATTAAACTCGGGTGAGTGAGGGTCGTGGTTTTTGTAAGGTTTGTATGTGTTGAGAGTTGTATTATAAGGGGAATGTAAATGTTTTCGTTAGATTTATCTGTGTACTGTAAAGATAAGGTCGTGTTTAATAGTTGATGAGAATATTAATTTAAGGGGAGGGTCGTTGTTTTTGTTAGGTTTTTCTGTGTTGAGGGTTGCATTCTAAGGGGAATATTATTAGTGTATTGCGGGTTGCTAGGGAGGACTTTTTAAAGGGGAGGACACCCAGAATCCCCTATATCATCCTACTAAAGACTACTATTATATGACTACTAAAGCCGGCGTTAAAGTACCTAGAATGTAGCTATGTTATTCATTAGTTTTAAATGAAATAAAATGTTAAAAATGAAACTATAGATAAAAACTTGGAAAAGTATATATCCGAAAAAGCAAAATTCTGGAGAGAAGTTTTAAAACGTTAAAGAATAATAATATGCCTTACCGCAGGAAATACTGCATTGAGGGGAAATTAAGGAAAAGCTAACAGTAATTCTGAAGGAATTTTTTTACGCACAGTTAAATTGATGTCAGGGTTTGATCCTATTTTAAGTAAACTTTTATATAATGAAGAATCAAAAATAAAATATTTAAGTTGAAAGATACAAAAGGAACTTATTGAATTATTAGCTGCTGAGTTAAGAAAAAATATATGTGAAGTAATAAAAGCAGCACAATTTTTCTCAATCATAATAGATTCAACACAAGACTAAAAAAATTGACCAGGTTTCTGTGATACTGAGGTATTGTTGTGAATTATAATGAACATACTGTGCGAATAAAGGAATCTTTGTCAGGATTTTATGCATTGATGAATTATAGCGCAGAAGATACCTCAACTTAATACTTAATATTTTGAAAAAATATAATTTAGATATTACAAAATGTAAAGGACAAGGCTACGACGAAGCCTCAGTTATGAGCGGTGCTAAATCAGAGGTACAAAAAGGATTTCTGATGTAGTCCCTAGTTCCTTATATGTACATTGTACTGCTTATAACTTAAATCTAGTAATTGCTGATGTTGCCAAAAGTTCATTAAAAATTTTTACATTTTTCAATATAGTCCAAAATATATATTAGTTTTTCAGCTAAAATGCACCTATATGAGTATCATTAACATTTGGTAATGATATAGCAAATCAAATACAAAAAAAAGTTTTGAAAAAAGTGTACAATACAAGATGGGAAGATGTCTAGCTTTCATTCATCTGCATATGCATTAAAAGAAAATTATATTAATGTGTTGAAATCTGTGACAAATATTTCACTAACCAGCAAAAAAAGTGATGAATTAAATAGAGCAAAATCTCTTTAAAAAGAAAATGCAATCTTTTGAGTTTGTTTTGCTTATAATTAATTGGGAAAATGTTTTAAAACCATTATATGTGGTGTACAAGATGTTACAGAGCTCACAAACCAGTATCCATTAAGCCAATGGTTTTTGCAAATTGGTATTAATTCAATTAAAAACATGAGACATGATTATAAAGAACTGGTTGAATCAGCAAAAAATATGTGTTTAAAATGGGGAATATAATTTCAGAATGAAAATAAACGAAAAATGTATTCTAAAAAAACTACTTGGTGAAGTTGATGGGGACAGGAAATTGGATATTACAGAGGAAAAATTATATGTTTCAGTATTTTTACTATTAGTTGATTCTACTTTATTTCAACTTGAAGATCGATTTAAAGGACTTAAAATAGTATCAAATACTTTTAATTTTTTATTGCCACCAAATATAATAAAATTAAATGAAGCAATGAAGCAGAAATAGTAAAATCATACTATGATTTTATTTAGTTATACAAAATTGACGTAACTTCCGATTTAACTAGTCAAGTTCTTTAAAGGAGTTTATAAAAAACACTGATATCAAAACAAAAAATTATGTTTATATTTAATCGAAAACGACCTATCATCTTTGTATAGTGAAGTTATTACATCTTTTATTATATTTTTAATTTTACCAGTGACTGTAGCATCAGCCGAATGGTCATTTTCTAAATATATGTATATATTATTTACATTTTTTCATTTTTATTTACATTATAAATATAATGTAATATTCACATGAGCTCTAGTTTTATGTGCCAGATCACACTATGGCAATAGTGTGGGCCGATAAAATACGCAACCGATCGGTAAGCAACCGCAACATATATATTTAAAATTGAACCGCGTCTAGACTAGACCGATTCTCCGAATTAGGATTATTCAATTATTTTAATACTGTTAAAAATATTCGATTAACTCGATTAATCGCACAGCCCTACTCTGAACCGTCCGAAATCGGTCTGAAATAGACCACGCTTTTGCGGTTTCGTTGCGCCGACGCGTTTCGGTCGTTCTCAAAATTACATTCAGTAGTTATACGGGATCATCTACACTCTTAGGCGCAACTAAAGGGGGGGCTTGGGTGGGCTTAGCCCACCCAGTTTTGTCCGTAGCCTATTCAGTTTCACTACAAAATAAAACATCAACTCTTGGTTTTTCTAAAAACGTAATTGTTGGTGTAATTAATACATTTGAAACTCTTAGATCTGAAGATGAATTTAAGAAAATATGGGAATAAATAAAAATATTATGCTGAAGAAAATGACATGTGGTTTTAACTCCATTAACTGGTGTATATATTTTATGATTTTGATAATTTGTTTTACGTGTTTTAACCTAAATAATACATACAAAATATAGGATCAGAGCATCACAGAGAGAATAAACTAGCCTTCATAACTATGTATTAACAGCTACCACGGTGGCAGAAAATGATTTACATTCGTCATTAGCAAATTATGTAGAAAGTTATTGGAAAACTTTTACATATTTTTTTACTATGGACAGTGTTATTTTCAATCTTAAATATAGGTTTTCTGATTAAAGCTTGGCTATGGCCAGTTCGGTTGTAGTTAATTTTGTAAATTACAACCGATTCAATGAAGTTTATTGATCATTATAAGGTAATTTGGTAATACCATGTATATAAATACATTTTAATTGTATAAGAGATTAATGATAACTAATTAATTAATTATAATAATTATAATTATAGAAATTACTTCATATTTCAAAGAGTAGCTTAGAAGCAGAAATTAAAATGGCATTTAACCTTAAAATAGTAAAAAAAAAAAATTTCAATATAAATGATGTTAAAGAAGTCGAAAAACTAATATTTCCAAACTTTTCTAAATTTTTACAAGTGGCTTTATCTATTCTCATAAGTTCAGACACCTGTGAAAGGTCGTTCTCTTCAATGAGATGAATAAAACATTGGCTTAGATCTTCCATGACCCATGATCGATTTACAAATTTATCTATTTTAAATATAAAGAGAGATGTAACCAACAAATTAGACGAAAATGAAATTGTAAATAAATTTGTTGAAAAAAATAAAAAAATTTGTTAATTTAATTAGGCTTTATAATAAAAATTTAATAGCTATGAACTGTATATTTCATTGATTATATATGTATATCCTTATTATTCGTGTTTATTTAGGTAGCTAGTCTGTAAGTAATAAGTAAATAGGTAAGTGACAACATTTTATTTCGAAATAAACTATTAACAACTATGGGTAAGGTCGTAAGGACTTCTAATTTATATAAATATAAATGTAAATGTTGATAATCAATATTGGGGGGTGTGGGGACGGGTCGCTGGTATCATTAAAATTCAGCCCACCCAGAAATTGAACTCTAGTTGCGCCTATGTCTACACTATATATGTTTTTCGGTTTCCGTTGATTGTTAAAATATCGGTAGTTGTTATTGTAATCGTAATCCCCGGGATTCTTCATTTCGTTCGTATACGTTCACTAGTTTTCGGCAACCGATAAAACGCATAGTGTGATCCGGCACTGAAAGGAAAGATAAAAACAATTGGATATCCGGTGTATTCGTACACTTAATCAGTTATATCAGTTATAAAAGTGTTCAAGGAAATGCCGTAGAGGAAGCTCAAGTATTTACCCCAATGGTAATACAAGTGCCTCCGCAAACATAATTTTTTTATCAATGACATTGTCTGAGCGTAATTTTACAGTAGCAGCTCTATAAATTCGTATTTTCATTCCTTAACGGAGTTTAGAAAAATAACATTTGAAATATTTTTTTATTTCTATAAAGTAGTAAAACATTGCTACTTTATGAATATTTTATAGGAATGCATTGAAAATCCAATAATTGGTTCCACAGTTAAACGTAATGTAATTTTTTTCAAGAAGAACCACGTTTACAGTTACGCATAATGGATATTATAATAAATTAGAATAAAATAATAAAACAATGCGCGTAGCTTGGAGTAATAAAATGTATGTATTAAACGACCGGTTTCGAATTAAAAATTCATCATGAAGTATATACAAAGTCAATAACATTGCGATTGAATATGAAACAATAAAAAAAGGAATATATTTAAATATGTGATCATTTTATATAGAGATAATTAATGAAATTATTTAATTGTTTATAAAAAATGAATTAAATAATTTCATTAATTATCTCTATATAAAATGATCACATATTTAAATCTTTTTTTTGGATTTTTATCCAATTTATATAATAATAATCAATAAAAATGCTTTTATATGTAGTGATTAAAAGCTGAAATCGGTGAGACTCAGGAATATAAAAGTTTTTTAAACAAATATTTTGACTATTCTGGCACAAATAATTATATCGCATGCCATTAAGGTGAATAGGTATGGTCTTTAAAATAAATGTAACTAACTGGCCACTTAGTTTTCTCTTAGATACCTATTCTCCTTTATTTCTGTACTTCACGGTTTAGATAAATATCCTAGCAATATGTTTTGATTGATTTAGTTTCTCGTTAATGTATATTTATTTGATCATTAATCTTTTTGTCCACATTTGTAAGTTGATATTATTTTCCACTATTAATTTAAGTGGATCAATTAAAGCAAAATGGATTACAATGTAAGTATTAATTATTATATTTTATTATACAGGTTACAAAATAAGGTACTGATTATATTTAAATAAGGAATGCAATTATTCGACAAAGCGACTATCGGCAAAGCTTTAATAAAAATAATTGTTGTTGACTATCAGCCTTTATCAATTGTAGAAAACGTTGGTATTATAGAGTATACCAAGATTTTACAGCCATTGTATTCCCTTCCAAGTAGGAAATTACTTACGATTAAATTATTACCTGATGAATATAATATCATAGTCTCTAAACTAAAAATTATGTTTAAATCCATTGATTACGTGTAAATTACAATTGACATGTGGACGTCTGATTCAAATAAGGCTTATATAACTGTAACGTGTCATTTTATATTCGAAGACGACTTATATTCAACAGTTCTTGCCACTAGAGAAGTACATGTAACACATACCGGAGAAAATATTGCTGCTGTGCTATCAAATATTTTTAATGAGTGGTATATAACTTCTAAAATTGTAACAATAGTATCGGATAACGGATCAAACATTAAAAACGCAATTAATCAGCATCTTCTCAAGTACCACTATCTTTGCGTAGCATACATATTAAATTTAAGCGTGAAAGAAGCTATTTCAACTAATACTGAACTGCATAATGTATTAAAAACGTGTAAAATTATCGTAAGACATTTAAAACATAGCACTTCCGCTAATGAAAAATTAAAGAGTTATCGAAATAAAATGGGCCTACCAGAACTTAAAGTTAAGCAAGACATATCTACGATATGGTTACAGTCCCTGTTTTTGTTCTAAGCTTGTTTTTGTTGACTTAAGTGATTCTGAATTTATATTAGAGCTTTTTAATTTATATGAACTTAAGAGATACTGAAACATTAGTTATTTCTTTACATTGTTGGTAATATTACTCCTTCGTATAAATATATTTGTAAGTTATTCCATATTTCATCCTTTCATTTATATTTATTTTTTTATTGTGTATTGAAATACTATTTCACTTTGTAATAGCATAACAATTTAATAACACATGGTCTACAAATTTCCTATATTATATGAAAATAGTTGTTGGTTGTGATAAAGCCTTTAGTATTTTTATTTGTTAGTCATATTGTAACTTATATCTTATACTTATTTTTTTTATATTCTATTCGATTACTCATATTTTTATTTTATAATAATTTAATACAATTTATTATTTAGAGTATTGATGAAGATGATATAGAAAACCTACGTTTGGCTGCTCTTATGTCAATTAAGAGAAAATCTAATGTTCCAAGTATTACATTAAGCAGTACATCTGGAGAAATTTGTGAAAGAAAATTCAGCACTACTTCATCGGGGCCGGCTGCTTTCCTTGGTTTGGCACTCTTTAATATATTTGTTACTTCTTCTTTCATTATATCGTATCTGTCATCTATTTTGATGCTACTTTCTTATACGAATATTGTAATTTGAATAAAAGTTAAAAAACTATTATATAGGTAATATAATAAATTGTACATGCTCTCTCTTATAGATGTAATTCTGCATGTAAGCAATATTCATATATTTTATTGAATATTTATCAATAGGATAATACTTATCTATGTTCAGATGATGGCGATGTCTTATCCCTAGGGGATGACGATGAAGATCTGGACGAACTAAACAAATTAATGGATATTATGAATGCTGAAGTTAATGAAGAAGATGTTGAAACATCAAAAAAAGTTAAGAAAAGTAAAAAACAAAATAATAAAAATACGAATGAAAAAAGTACGAAGCCGAAAATAAAAAATAAATCAAATATGAAAGTTAATGAACCAAATGGTATAAATCAACCAATGGTTATTAAAATGTTAACACCTCTAACTAATCCACCCGAAGAAAAATTAGAATCAATTAAAAATTTAGAGGAAATAAGAAACTCTCTAGCACAATGCATTATATTAAATTCTCCTGTTCCCTTAAAATCACCATCACCACGTAAAACAAAGAAGTCAATAACTCCTTACAGTAAACTTCGAAAAAAGATCACCATCAAGATCTTCCAGAAGATTATCACCTTTAAAAGAAAAAAATCATTCTCCGAGGGGATATTCTCCTTTAAAGTCGCGATATCCCTATCGTTTACGATCCCCAAGGAGAAGTCACAGGTCTTTATTACGAGATATTTCGCTAACAAGAAGACGACTGTCTCCATTAAGGAGAAGAAGTAGATCTCCACTTAAGATCAAATCGAGATCATCTATAATTAGAACTGATGTTAGAAGAAGATCACCTATTCCAGTAAAGAAAGAAATTAGATCAAGACCTGTATCTCATAATGTTCGCCGTAAAGATAATAAAATCTTAGGTA